TTCGTAAGGCGAACGCCTCGTTTAGTGACAAAGTAACTTCATTGTGAAAATAAATTAATTCATTATTATAATGATACGCGTGTTAAGTATATAATATTTATTTTGTTCGAAAGTTTAAACACTTAGGATTCTGATTGTGAGAGATTTTTTTATTTATAGCAGAATTGTAATTAATTTATAACATATTCTCAAAAATGACGGAAGTGCCATTTAGTGATATGTAATTCTGATTTTATCCCAATTTGCGACACGCATGACTGTATTATTTATTGGCAAAAATAATTATTCGAGTATCACAAATTATCACAAAATGGTACAAAATCATAAGTCAATTTCTAATATGTCGGCAAATAACTATTCGAATTGATATCGTCAGCAGCACGCTTATAATTATGATATTCCAGTATTGATTATAGTTATTAATTTTATTTGAAACATATTATAACAAATAATACATAATATTTAGAGTAAAAACATGTTCTTTGGGATAAATATAGAGCTAGAAATTATTTAACCTATCAAGAAGATAAGACGCAATTGTTACAAATTAGGACGCTCTCATTAATTGAGACATTCACCTTAAATGAAGGAAATTCATTTATTATTGTATTCGTGTGACGAATGTAAAATAAATCCCGTTGGAATTATCAATTGAATCATTGTCGACTCCTTCAATACGAGTGATAAAATATACACAAATGTTGTATAAATATTGCGTGGCAATATTCCTCCACGATGTTACGTCCACTTACGGGCAGGCTTGAATTATTTGTGTGACAATAGAGAGAACGTAACGGACCTTCACGCAGATAATCGAGACGAAATGCTACTAATTTAGCGCCGGAATTAATTTCCACCCGCTCTTGCGCTTTACATGTCGTCCACGGTGATCTCCGACGAAGTACCGCGATTTCAGCGAACATCGTCGCGCGATTTCGCACGAGTTGTAACATTCGATAATTCGGCAATTTGTCGAACAATTTATGAAACGCGGACTCGACGTTGAATCTTGGACGCTGAAACCGCCGCTCCATAATTTTCTCGAGCACCTAGCCATCAAAGAATTTATGCCAGCAATTACCTTTGACGTCGCAAATTGCCGGAGCGTTCCCACTTCGAACTGTTTCAACAGTTCGAACGAGCAATTCATTCGAATCGGCGTTTGAGTCTTATCCGTAATCGTTAAAAACATCCCTCGCGGTCTCGTTTGTTCTTCTAGCCTAAACCGACGACACGCGTTCTTGTTGATGTTTTCCCGTATTCGTTTAATCGGCCCCCGGATTTCCCGCGTGTTTTTTTTCCCCTATCTACATCACCCGGGAAATCACGGCCATAACGAGTGGCCGCGAAATTAAACGTCTTTGAGCCGTACGCCTCGGGACCGTGAACGGTGATTGGACTCCGTCGTAACTGCTCATCTTAAACGGCTTAATGGTTCTCCGTGGGCCACCTTCTGAGATCAAAACCAAATCGAGATACGTGCAGACCCGATGAAGAAGAAACCGGACTCGGGCTTGAAGGCTTAACATTACTCGTCGGGTTATATTTCCCGGGAACGTAACTGCTAATTGTTATCTGCCTCAATCCGTCCGGTTTGGTAAATTATTACGAATTGTCCAACGCAGATGTAATAGCGTCTCTCTCTCAACGCAAAAGCAGTTGAAACACGCTCTATCTTAATTAAACAGAAAATCTGCTATTTGCGCGATCAATTAACTCGGTAAACTAAAAGTCAATAACATAACGTTTCTCACATAATAATACTTAACGTTTTAAATATATAGTTTTTAACGTATACAACATTATTATAAATAACTTTGATGCCGATCTTGAGATTTCATTAATTAATAATTCGTAGCAATATTCTTGTGCGAAATATTTTTGCAATATTCTAAAGAATCATGTCACATACGACGATATTTCGAAAATGGTTGCGTGATATCGAATAAAAAATTTGTAAGTTAAAATTATAAGTTTGAACACGTTTTTCTTCTTTTCAACCGGTCAATTTTTCTTGAAATTTTATTCACGTTTTAAAATATATAACATACGGGAATTGCCTGGCCGGGACTTGGAATCGCGGATTTAATGTTCGCGACGTGATGTGCGCGATTGCTTCTTGCGTCAACAAGGAATTATTGGCAAAAGCCACATTGAGCTTTTTCTCGTGTTCCGACCTCTTTTCATGCCTGCGTGTATGCGCTATTTGCCTTACTTTGCGTGCTGCGTAAATAACCGGAATTTGATTGTGCGCTACTGCGTGATTCAATAGCGTATCGAGCTGCGAATAAATACGGTCTTCGCGATTGCAAAAAGCGCCGGTGAGATGCGACAAGACCCGGTAATTTCCAATGGGATATTCTGTATCGCGCATAGCACCTCGCGCTATTATCTCATTCGAGAAAGTATTGTAACTTTTCTCCATGAAGAAAGACGCGACATCGTGGTTAGAATTAATACTGTGACATTAATTTAACGTATTTCTCGCGCACGGTGCAAATACATCAATTATCAATTAGTTTCCTCAATTGCCAATTCAGTTAATTTATGCGAAAAATAATTAAGTCGTCGCGTTATCTTTTCGCGTTGGCCCGACTAACTCGAAATTTGTCTTTTCGCTCTACTTCCTCTCACTTTATGTTTTTTACAGTTTAACTTCCTTTACAATCCAAACTCAGCCGGAAGCATTTAAGGCTAAATTAATCCCAGCAGATTAGATTGTAGAGAAACTTAACGGCGAAGTCGTAGAAATGAAACGCCGTGGAATAAATCGAGCTTTTCGTTCCATGGTGAAGTATATATTTTTAATTCGTGCTTATGAAATATTTCTTCGGCGGTTATGCCGCGCGAAATATCTCCGTTACTTACGTTACAAAACATTCCGACGAGCTCTGACGTTCATGTTTTCGGCGAAATACTCGAAACAAAATTACTGCGCCGGGCGATCCGATGCGAACCGTACAAAATCCCGTATAAAATCTCAGTCGCCCGCGATATTTCTCGGGCTTTTATCGCGAGCAAACAAGTAACAGTCCGTGTAGCGCAGCGCCGTGTAAATCGCGTTACATCCCGCCATTTACCTCCATCAGACTCGCAGCTAAGTACGAAGTGCGAGCGACCGCGAGTTACAAGCGCGTGTCCGCTCATCCGTTAATCACGTTTTGCACTTGGAATTTTTCCGCGCCTCCGCAATTTAGTTGGCGGAGCGAGAGATGAGTTTTCCTGTTTTCCAGGGAGCATAGGGCGACGCGCGTCTGTCGTTCTCTGCACGCCGAGTGCCATCCATCTTCATTCGTCAACCCGGCGATTTGGCGTCCGTCTATTTCTATCCGCCGGGAGTAGTATGCAAAGCGATCGGCGAAAGACAATTAGCAAGAAGCGCTCCTCGCTGGTCGGCTTGTCGTAGCTTCTTCTTCACGCGAGCGGGACAAGAAGTACCGGGTGTTCAAATGCAAGCAAGACCTCTGAAGGACCGTCTACGATAGCTGTAAAGTATGGAGTAAGACGTAAGCGGTAAGTTAACTGACCAACCACAGTCGACTTATTTTTGGAATGTATGAATCCAATTGGTCAATTGGCTTACTGCATATTTTCCAGCTATTGTAGACGACCCTTAAGTTTTCTACTTGTTACGCAGATGAAAGAAAATGCTATTATGTTAATGGAATTGATCAAGAGCGCTAATTGAAATAGAACTTTTTAATTCAATAAAATTGAAACTAATACACCATACATTATTTTAATACCCTATAAGCGCGTAATATTTTCAGAATATTATATGAATATTATTAAATATTAAAATAATGTTCTTGTAATATTCTAAGGATGTTACATAATAGGACGTGCCGATGTCCTAAGGACGTCCACAGGATATCCACAGAATATCTACGGGATATTGTGTGCTGTTTGGGATTCTGTTTGTGATTGATGCCAAACTGTTGCATAATAAAAATAAATAATTAAGCAAATGATAATTTAGATAAAGATTTAAGGTGTAAAATACAGTCTTGAAATTATAAGTCTTGAAATTCATATATCAGCCAATGAAATGAGCCATACAGTATCTGAAGATAAACTTATGGCTTCTGCCCACAGGAAATAATTGCCATGCGGCGAGAAGCGACGCGGCAGCCAATAAACTTTTAGTTCTTGTGGAAAAACGGCACGTTGATTGGCTACCGCGCCAACTTCCTCTTCGCGCAGCAAGCGCTGCCGCGTCCTATGGGCAAAAGTCACTAGTCTACAATAGGTGTTTTAAGCCTTAAGAAATTGGCCAATCACAGTTGATTATTCTTCTCACATTCGATTGTCGAAATTGGTCAATTTCTTAAGATTTAGAGCTTAAAGTACCTATTGTAGACCGGGATTTATCGATAAAAGAGAGTTCAGAATACAGGCCTAAGTTGACCATAGACATAATATATTAGACCGAACGTTTGCTTTTATTTGAGAAGTAGGGGTCGAGCTGGGAAGCGTGCCGACCAGCCGTGATTTGGTGTTTTCTAATATCGGCCAATCGGTGTAGCCCGTTCACTAGAGACATGGTCATCCCACCCGTCGAGGTGCACGTAAAAAAAGATGTACTCTGTTTCGTGTCCTTGCGTTCTCTCTCACTCGTGCGGACTATGCGCGTACTATGTGTTCTTTTTCATTCGCGCAGACACGCAACACAATGTGTTCTTTTCTATGCGCATTTCGACCTCTACCCCTCAACGCTCGATCTAGACCTATTATGTCTGTTAACCAATGAAATGACAAATATTCTAAAACCTGTATCAGATTACGGATTTGGATAAAAATCTGACCAATTAGAGCAAGTTTAACTCGCTCCGATTGGCTAAATCTCAATCCCGATCCACAGTGTGATACGGGTCTGACAAATTCGCGTACTTGTAATTTTCACCTCACGTTGAGAACCACAATACGTTCCACAGATGTCACTTTTACGTAACGGTAACGGCATTCCGCAGCTCTTCGAGTTTCGTACAGTCATAGACTGTTTCGAGCCAACGAGCCGTCGAGTAACGCCATGTTTATACTGTAGGTAGTTTGTCGCGCGGAGTGTTCAGTATTCGTGTCATCTATTATTTTTCGTGTAATAATATTTGCTTATTTACCTATGTAGTGTGACGCGATCAGTGTACGATTCGCGCGAACCACGCGTTCTATTCGATGCGACGGGTTACGCGGTCTCGCGACGGTGTCGTGCATGTGTCTCGTCCTGGTCGCGCGTAGACTAACTGCATCTTCTCACACGCAATCCACAGCTAGATGTTCACCTCGCTTCCGCAAAAATTGTTTACCAGTAGGCTCACGCGATTATAGGTATCTGTGCGATAGTACATGAATCGTGCTACTTATCCTAAAACCTAAAATTCGTCTTACGGCACTCGAATTGCGATCCAACGAACACACGCTATGCTACGATTAGCGTGAGCATCTGCGTGTTTTATAACCTGACAACACGATTGAGTTCTTCGTCCTGTGTATCTTTATCATGTCGCTGTATCTTTGACGAAACATTCAGGCGGTAAGATATTTAGACGTATCGTTATTCCTTTATCTTTCCCCTTTGTTGCTCGGTTTTAATCTCGACGCGCCAACCATTGTTTAGATCGAATCATCGTCAATAATTAAATGTATGTGTGCACAAAAATGGTGGAAATACACTTTACTGATAATAAATACCGTATCTTCTTATTCTTTCGAATATACTTGTTCTTAACTTACACAAGCTTTTTTATAGGATACCTTTCACTATCGCTTTTTTTCTATACTCGTATGAACCTGTAATAATGATATTTACAGCAAGGTGTTGTGTCTTTTGAAGCGTATACTTAATTAAAGGATATCAAGATGTGGCCGACACAAAGTAATAACTCTAATGCAAACTCGGCGTCAAATGAAAAGAACTTACGTACTTTGGGCATGACATCCGCTATCAGTATAGCTGAGCCCAAACCCCTTGATATTTCTAGAACCAACGAATTGAAAGAGGCCCTTAAACCCTACAATGTTTTTGAATCTGAAGAAGAGTTGAATCATAGGATGGAGATTTTAAGGTATGACTCATAAGTCATCCCAAAATATGTGTATTCTAACGTGCAACTAGCATTTTCTTTGTATTAGAATAACAACTACAATATACAATTGTCAAAATATATTTGTTGTTACAGTAAATTGAACACATTGGTTAAACAATGGATAAGGGAAACAAGTGTAGCCAGAAATATGCCACCTAATGTGGCTGAACAAGTTGGTGGTAAAATATACACATTTGGCTCGTACAGGCTAGGTGTGCATCACAAAGGTGCTGATATTGATGCACTGTGTGTTGTACCACGCCACATATATAGATCAGATTATTTTACATCCTTCTTTGAGTTATTGAAGGTGCAAGAGGAAGTTACAGATTTAAGAGTATGTAATTCAAAAACATGTAATACAAACAGCTATTATTTATTGAATATATATTTAAAGTTAGAAATAAAATGGTAATGTATATACATGTAGTGAAACTTCTAGCATAGTAACAAGTGTTAATAATATTTTTTGTATTGTAGGCAGTGGAAGAAGCCTTTGTACCAGTTATTAAGATGAATTTTGATGGTATAGAAATTGATATGTTGTTTGCAAAATTAACTCTTAAAGAAATTCCAGATTCAATGGTTAGTAATATATTTCATATTTGTATAAAAGTAATATTCTACGAGCGTCTTATGTCTTATGATAAATATTTAATAAATTTTCAGGATCTCAGGGATGACATGCTTCTCAAAAATCTTGATCAAAAGTGCGTCCGAAGTCTTAATGGTTGTAGAGTAACCGATGAAATATTGCGTTTAGTACCTAATATAGAAAATTTCAGACTAGCTCTTAGAGCAATAAAATTATGGGCGAAACGTAAGTTTACATGATAATAGCTCTCAGTAACAGCTAATATACGATGTGTATCTTTATCTTCATCTATATTTAATTTTTTAGGGCATGGCATATATAGTAATGTGTTAGGTTACCTTGGTGGTGTGTCCTGGGCGATGTTAGTCGCGCGAACATGTCAGCTTTATCCCAATGCTGTGGCTGCTACTTTAATAGAAAAATTTTTCCTCGTATTTTCTCAATGGAAGTGGCCTCAACCAGTACTTTTAAAACAACCTGATACTGTCAATCTAGGATACCCGGTTTGGGATCCGAGGGTAAGTTTTTGATATAGCTTATATTTAACAAATATTGCATATAACTTATAAAAAAATATAACGTTAACACGAATTGTCATATGTTAAGATATTTTATACAGATTTTTTTTATTTCTTATACTTTTCCTATGTTTATTTCAAAAATTTGTTTTTTAAGGCTCTTGAAAATCAATTTTACTACTTTATATCTTCATTCTTTGCACTTTAGGTTAATATATCTGATAGGTATCATTTGATGCCTATAATTACACCAGCGTATCCTCAACAAAATTCTACTTTCAACGTGTCCGTGTCGACGAGAACCATCATGCAAGAAGCGTTTGAGAACGGACTATCCATAACCGAGGAGATTATCATAGGCAAGGCGACATGGGACAAATTGTTCGAACCACCAAATTTCTTTAGCAAATATAAGCACTACATCGTATTATTAGCTAGAAGCTCAACCGCGGAAGATCAGCTGGAATGGTGTGGTCTCGTCGAATCGAAAATACGGCATTTGATAGGTAACAAACACATACATATTATCGCGTCACAAAAACATTTTACTTTCTAATACAAAGTTTAAATTAAATTTCTGTGTCTATTTGAGAAAACATACCGGGAGCAATGTATTATATCGAGAGTGAAAATCAAAATGTGAAATATTATGTAAAATACGTGTAATCCTGAAATCTATATAAATACAAATATGTTTAATTTATTCAACGATATAAAATATGATATTAAATTATAATATTTTTATTTTTTGATAGTATTCAAGGTGGTAATACAGTTATTGCCTTATCATGTATACATAATAAAATATGTAATTAATATGTTTATATTTCGTTCGTGACGTACAAGAATTATAATATTACGTTGAATTCGTTGAATTCGTTTTTTCTCCTCTTCTATATATTCTTATACTAGTGAGGATATTCTTGTTCTCTCTCCAAATTATTACAATACAGCTGATAAGAGCAAACCTATTATCAACATGCAACTTATAATTAATTTCTTCAAAAATTAATTATATTAATTAAATCTAGTGTACTTATTGCTTTCTTGATGTTTCCTATCTCACTGTACTATTTATTGTGCTGTGATAATAGATTGAAACAAGGTTTGATGTAAAAACATTATATTTACAGACCACCAAAGATACAGAAAGAATTTGAAATAAATCACAGTAATCTTTCCAAAGGATAAAGGGCAATTATATATAATTAATGTAAACTAGTCATTATTTTAGTCTTAGTTTTAATTTTTTAATGATAAAGTCGTAAATACGTATACATTTATTATTTTCATATTACGATTTACTATTGAACTTAACTATTGAAACATTAATAATAATCGAAATATACTAATAATCTGTTGATAACGAAATAACCTAATTATAACTCTTCACAACAGGTACACTGGAAAGAAATCCTCATATTACCTTGGCGCACGTAAATCCGGAAGCATTTCCACCATTGGATCCAGAACCGGATAAACATTGCTCTATGTGGTTCATTGGTCTATTATTCGCTAAAAGCGAGAATCTCAATATTGACCTCACATATGATATTAAATCCTTTGTAGAGACAAGTAAGTTTAAATCTAACTATAAGTTATAATTTATTATATGTTATATAATAGTTATAAATATATGACATATAAAACATGTATAAATTATTATAAATATATGCATGAATACATCGTTTTTACATAAGATGCAATAAGTACAGAATAATGCAACTATACATATTTATATATATATATATATATATTTACTGCAGTTGAAAGGCAAGCAGAACAAATAAACATGTTGAAAGAGGGCATGTGGATAGAGGCTAAACATGTAAAAAGGAAGGATCTGCATACTTACGTGTCACCAAGCTTGCTGAAAAAAGAACGAAAGGTAATGTTACATGTAGATTTTGTTAATATTGTATGTTAATACATTCACTACCAGAATTTATTTAGAGAACTCTTCACAGGCTATCTCGTGTTCAAACCATTTTTTTACATAATCGTGCAAGATAGACTTAGTTGAATGTGAATGTAGAAAAATTTGTCTACCATCACACATACGTGACGTCGGTCTCTTGTGAGAGATCATTGCGTCGCATATGTGATGCTGGTAACGAACGTATTAAATTTTAAACGTCATATTAATTTTAAAGTACCATTCTATTGCTTAATCAATTTTTATGATAGTAGGTGATAAACTTAGTTTCTGCCGCTCACAATTAGATGGCTCCAACTGCAAAAGTAGTAAGCTTTCACAGTTGAAGTTGATTGTCTTTCGAAGGTTAGATATATATCAGTAAAATTCAAACAAAAACAGAAATATTTTTTTATTTTAAATGAATCGTGATAAGTAGTTTTTTGGACATGTATTTCTTCACTACTTTGATCGGAAGAAAACTGCAGCTGAAGTGCATCGATTGATTTCTGAAAGTTATGGTGAACAAGTTCCATCAGAAAGAACATATAGCAGTTTCAACGATTCAAAAGTGGTGACTTAAGTGTGGAAGATAAAGAACGTTCCGGACAGTCGAAAAAGTTTGAGGACGCTGAATTGCATCATTGGATGAAAATCCAACTCAAACACTCGAAGGATCGTCAAAAGTGTTAAATGTTACTCCTATTGCTGTTTCTGAACGTTTACGCGCCGTGGGAAAAATCCAAAAGGAGAGAAAATGGCTGCTACATGAGTTATCCGAAAATGTCATCTCATGAAATAAATGCGTTTTTCAGGCAGAACATAGCGAAAACTAAGTTTAACACCTATATGTTATTGAAATATTCGAGAAATATTTTTTTTTGAAATATTTTTCTTCTTTTAACATTACGCAATAGAACATTGAAAATGATAAAATTTGCATTTCAAATTACTGTAGGATCAACTCTTTCATGCTACGATGGTTAAGTGTTGAAATATTTATAGGTTTCCGGTGGCGTGCATCGGAACGGCAGCATTGCTGGAAATGGGAATAGTGGCAGTGTATCACCCCGAAATCCAGGTGATACAACAAGCAGAAAGCGATTATCGGATCAAGGGATTGACACTTGTGGGAAGAAACGTGTGCGAGTCAATGACGTGGAAGAGCAAGTAGGTAGTGTATACTATAAAATGCGCTTCAAGAAGAAGGACATTTTATTCTGAATTCGTTGATGTAAAATTAAATACAAAGTATAACAATTGCGCGGTAATTCTTCATAGGTTGAGAACTCATCGATAGTAGTACAATCTTGCGGAGAAGATAGTAATTCCGGTTTCAACTTGGATGAGTACAAACAGAGCCTATCAACTACTAAAGATGTAAGAACTGAATATTTTATATATATATATATATATACACACATAAAATATATAAATATATATACATACACATACATATGCTTTTACATAGTAAAATATTAGTATGTCTGAAAATCAATTTGAACATTGCTCCGTATGTGGCAAAAATGATTAAAAATTTTAAAATAACATCTTTAGCTGTTAATTAACGTAAATACTTACCTAATACAGAAATCCTGTAGCTTATATGTGGCGAATGTATCAATGCTCCAATCAGAAAAAATTCAAGGAACGTTCTTAGTACGTTTTCAATTAAATTTCAAGACTTAAAAAGATACGTAAAGTTTACAGAAATATTTGTATATATCTTGGTTAGATTTTCCGTTAGATATGGTAAAACAAAATAGCACGCATTTATTGCATTCACATTTATCGTATTCATATTTATATCACATTTATATTTACGCAAGATATATATGTATAGTCTAGATTTTTTCTTTTTTTAACTTTAATTATTTTACTATATTTTTCCTTGATTTATTTTTTAATTAGCCCAACATTCTATATGTATAGTCAGCCGAAACGGTTGCAACACTTTTTGGTTAGAAGTTTCGCAACGAATCTCGTGTTCAATAAGGAAATGTATCTCCTGAGAATGAGTAAAAAACAAATTCTCTTATTGGACATGGGATGTGTTCCGAAACTTATAAAAAAATGTCTTGCAACTTTCCCGTGACTGACGAAAAATACAGAAAGCGTGATCGTGTCAGTCTTTATTAACGTTTTGAGGATCATCGCTATGTTATCGAGTTGCTTGTCGAGTTCGTCGTCGACTTTGGCATCCTGTTAGTGCATCTATCCGTCGAACTATTAACCCTTCTGTCTCTCCGTCGCACTTAAAAGTATTTGAAACACTTGATAATACAATTCATTCAGCCGTAACATCTGTCGTGACAGGAAGGACCTACTGGTGCGTCCACGGTAGCGCAGGAGGGATTCGTGTGCACTTGACCATTGCAAAATTACTATCTCACACCAATCCAGAGATGCTCCTCCGGGCCATCTAGACTGTAAACATTTCTCACGCAACCATCTACTGCCCACTGTAAGTCCTTCGTCTCGTTAATAAAAGCAAAACAACGTCACGCAATGGAGGAAGTTATTTCAGACGGAGTCAATCGAAAAACGACTGTGCGTGTGTGCGTGTGTGCGTATATTGAGTGCATATGGACACGCTATAAATAATAGTATTTGTAAGAACATCGACAGTCAATGGGAACAATTACCAGCCAAGAAGCTAACGCGATTGTGCCAGTGTCTGTGATGTCTTTTATATCACATTGGGGGTTGTATAATAGTCGTTGAGCCGCATAACCGAAGGAATTGCTGCCACCGGGAATTTTAAGTCTATTGTCGCTTAAAGAAAGAAAACAAATTAGTAACTATACTTTTTATATATTTCCTTTTGTACATACGTTGTTTACGATGCCTTTTTTATTGATAATTACTTGAACAAAGAACTTAAAGGAAAATGAGACGCGATAATACTTGATGTAACATAATTTTACATATCTTACACATGACGGACAAGAATAGTTTGGTCGAAAATTACACGTACGGGGACGTTCGTGCTCGCGAATGCCTCCGCGTGTTGCAAAAAAAAAGGAAAAAAAGTAAAAATATATTCTTATATAAAGTGCATTTCCGTTTTAATGCACGCAGCGAAATATGGTTCGAGAGTGTGTATTGTTTAGTTCTTAAGTAGCTCGTATACTTTATTACTCGTATTAATCACTCATCGTCGTGATCTGTCCCCTCCGGGACTCGCAAACAGTGCTGTATAACGTTAGCGTTTCAACACGCCCTGCTGTTTGCGCAAAATATAAACTATTATTTACGCGATACTTAATATTGATATTATTTGTAAGGATTAGGTGCAACCGTAATAATAACTACATTGCAACAATCAAGAATCACCGACACTGGCACGAATCGAGAGTGTGTTTCATTTGCGAAGTGCAACTCGGTGACAGATGAAACACCTCTAATTGGCCATTGACTATTTTGTTGCGTGATTATGTTGCGTAAAACAGTTTCGTACGGAGCCGCCTTTTAATTTCTGCTCGGGGACAAAGTTATAGCTTTAACGAACTAGAACGACTTTCGACGACTGAAACCACCACCTGTCACCAATCGGTGAGTTTTTTTTTTTTAGGTGTACAATTGCCCTTGCTCCCACGGCTCTGACCTTTAGTCGCGATTTCAATTACCTTTCTTGATATTACCGCCTCGATTCACGTGTTAAAGACATGTCCGCTATCGTAAGCTACAAGGTATTTGATGTTCACTCGGATGTTTTTAAAGAAGAAAACTTGCGAATATACTGCGTAATGTATGTAAAAGTCGGGCACTTGCAAAGTAAAACACTTACTAGGTCACACGCTTTTTTTCAGTTCGTCAAGTCTTTATTGAGAGATGCGTATATCGTCTCGCCTACGATTAATTTAGATGGGATTAGTTTTCACCAACCTGAGAGCGTTTTCGCAGGCAACACTACAGAAGTCGCGATTCGATGATGATTATCGTTGAAACGAATATAGTTTTGCACGACGCGCAATTTAACAGCTGCGTGTTGATCTTCAAGTGTGCGACATGAAACTTTCAGCCGCGTCCTAACGCTTTGTAAGTGCTGTGATTTCATGTACAGTGATTACAAATCATTCCGTTACTTATGTACATATTCGTAAGTGTGCTGAAACGACAAGCTGCTCCCTTTCATGTTCTCCATTTTGTCGAGTCATTTTATTTATTGATCAGCACCTGTATATCCTTACCGATGTAATTATCGGCACAGGTACATATCGCTGCACAGCAGCGCAAGATACAGGTCCCCGAGAATTTCGTATTTGCCCTCGTACACTTATAAACAGCAACGGTGCCTTGCTTCCGCGTCACTTTTTCGTAGATTCGCGATCACTTCACGTTCTAATCTACGACAAAAATATCTGTACATATATGGTAGCGTGCAAGGACTGGATGCGTCCGTGATTCGATCGTGAACTCTTACCTTTCACAAGTATCGACGTCAGCATGACGCGACAGTGACGCAACACCACTATGTTTTTTCTCAATAATTATTCGCGAAACTGAATTATTATTCCATGAAACCGGTAAAATGTCCGTAGATTTATTATGCAGTGATCGGCATTGTAAGTGTCCCACATAGATTTCATTAGTGTGAGGGGAGAAGGGGAAGAGAGGATTATATTCCTATAAACCTCTTTAATAATTATTTTCCCCCTCCCTTTATCTCTCTCGCGCGCACTCTTATATTTTCCATCAATAGTAAAAAACCGAAGTTTGATCCGAAACTCGCAGCTGAAATTTAATCTACAATTTGTGTGAAAATAACCATTTCGTTCCGAGCAAGAGACCATATATAAAACGAAATTATGTATTATCGTCTCATTTTTGTCTTCTCATACTTATACGCGAAGATATCATAACTTTAGAATAGCGTTCTTTTTTGTTCAGCCGCAGAACATCCTCCTGAAATCACATTTTATAAGAAAATATATTTGTTTTCCTTATCGCGAAACTTCAATATATACATACGTTGCAATACTTGCAGAAAAACATTTCCAAAATTATATATACCGTTTGTTATATCAGTCCGTAGATTTATTCGAGAATATTGTACAGAATGATTATATAAATAATGCAAAATGTGAGAAATTATTATACAAGTAATATAAGTAAGGCTCGAATTTCCATGAATATATCACGAAATGTATCGTATATTTTATTTCACAAACGTTTTAACATTTCTTAGAAAAGAAAAGGAAGAAAAATGTACTCAGTTTAAATTATTTTCCATTAAACATAATTTGGCAATTGTTGCTGGCAAGATACTCGTAACTTGCATAATTTCTTCTAACTTCTCGTCACACTGTTCTCAGGATTTGTTAGGATAAATATATTTCGTGTGAAACGCAAATATTTAGAAACAAAACTCACTATCGGAAAAGTCATTATTTTCGCACATACGTATAACTTCATCGTTATTTAAAAAAAATAGCACGTGTTGATATACAAGTTCCTTAAATTGATTATGCTTCTTAAATTGATGGCTGAGGATCTCTATTTGACGATAAGAAGAACGTGTCATGTTGACTGTCTCCGTAAACTTTGACATTTATCTATTTTGTTATTCGTTCTTTGGCTGCGTTCCGATATTCAGCCAGTATTAAAAATTCTGCCAGTATTAAAAATCTCTAGTAACATGAACTATAGATTTTCAATACTGACAGTGAATGTCGGAACGCAGCTTTTGTAATCAGTTTATATTGTACTGCATTTATACATATACATATAATTACAGAATTAACAAAAGTGGAAACGTATAATCTGTGTTTTTAGTATGGAATGATTAAATATCTCGCAGCGTATAAATCACTGTGCAATACTTTTTTTTGGGGGGGGGGGCATCTTTTAGTTAGGGAATGATATGGGTTAGTCGAGGACCTCGCAGGATGACATAATTTCGAATGACATTATGAGATAAAATGCATAAAATAAAATGTCAACGCTATTACGAAGAATACGTGTATATTTGTTTTGTAAAATAAGCGTTAACGTTTCTTAATACATTTTTCACTCGTACCGAGTGTTTGTGTTAAGCATGATCACTACATCGCCCGTGTCACTAAGATCGTTTTATATCGGGTGATCCTCGATCATCTTAAACAAATGCCATGACATTCGGATCTGCCGATTTCCTGAGATTTCGTTTCTTTCGTTTGCATGCAATAGTATATACATCTCTGCCACCTGTTAATCACATAAATCCTGTTAATCACATAAATTCCCAACGATATACAATACAGTCGATACACAAGAAAAATCGATTATTCACGAAAAACCAGACAAGTTATAATTTGCCAAAAGTTGAAATATGTTCATATACGATTTATATCTGTAATGTTATTACACATGCTTCTCCATACACATGTGTGTGTGTGTGTATATATATATAAATTCGTATATACATATTCAAATTGCCACATTCTTTAAATGAACATGTAATTTTCCGAGCTCCCTTTATATTTCTATGGAGCTCTGAAAATTCGTATTTCTCAACTTATTCGGTTTTTCGTGAAACTGTAATCGCCGTTTCCGTCGTGCATCGACTATACCGCTCATCATTTGCATAATAATAGGTTTTAAGCTTGGGAAATTGTACATTGCACACATACAACTGAAACGAGAATTGAATGCGAACGAGAATAAGAATGAGGATCGTTGTCCACGATCGTTAGCCGGGAATTGCCATCAGGGATCGCGAGCAGTGAACATCAATATTATCCTTGTATACGTCGAGCCTTATCGACGTTCCCTCTCGTTCAGCTTCGAGGCTGTGGCGTGTTCAATTCATAATTTCTCTCGGAAACAACCATAGACATGTCTGTAGCACATCCTCTGAATTTTCGCGTAGCCTCTTCCGTCCTGAAAACCACCACCGTTGGCTGACGTGGTTGTCGCGATTTCAATTTATAGGGCAAGGAACTAACGCGAAAACGGGCATACTATCTCATCTCCGCAATCTTATCCTTTTGTTGCGTATGAAGAGAAACACCGGAGGAGAGGAGGGGAGAGAAGGGGATACGAAACGGAGTGAGAGAGAGATGCGGTTTAAAGGAAAAACCGAGAGCGCGGAGAGAGATTTATCTCGTGAGAGAAGCACGTGATCCGCGCGCCCGGGAAAACCCGTAACGGATCGCTCAGGATCCCACGTCTTATATCACGGATGTCGAAACTTCGCTGTAAGAATTCTTGCAGATTTTACCGTATACACACGATGTGTCTCCTTCGTACCTCGAGCCTCCTGTACATAAATATTTATTCTGTTGCCGCGTCCGCATCGAGAGTTCCGGTCCTGAATTCGTCCCTTCGGGACAGACGCTTGGAATTTCACAGAAACGCCGAATCACGTTGGAACTTTCTCTGATCCTGCGATGAGAAATCAAGCGGGGAGATTAATACTCTCAATCGGCTGGAAACACGTGTGGGAAAAGCCCCATGTTATACGGGAACGATCGCGCGCGTGTCCTCGCGAATCGGTCTCGGCTGCTTGCTGAGATCGTAAGAGAGAGAGAGAGAAAGAGAGACACATTGCGAGCCGCATGAGTTTACGTTTGCACGCATCTCGGTCGTGCGTGACGTTTCTGCGAGCAGCCGATTCTCACGTTACGTCCACGAGAGACGTACCCTTCGATCGCTGATCAACAACCGCGATTTCTCCCCGGGCGTGCGATTCTGCGACTTTCCGGACATTTCTGCGAATGTTCCCCCCGAAGAAATGCGAAAAACGCGTCGCGAGTATCGTTGTTTGGCGTTTCGCGTGCATGCCGCTCGACCGGCAGAATCGAAGACGAATTGTTGTAATACGCGCGCGCGCGCAACAATCACCGATCGACGCCGCTCGCACTCTCGCAACCGGCAATAGGCATAAAAGGCAAGGACACGTTATGATTTGTATCATTCAACAGATGTACACTCTCTGTATCTTTTCTGAATAAACAGAAATAAATTTTTCTTTTCCACGTCTCCTCCAGCCAAAATCTGCGCGATGTCGCGTCGCGCTTCAGAGCGAGGCGAAATTTCAGCGCGTGTTGTCTCAGTGAATTGTCTCGAATTCAATTCGTCTCGCTCTGTCGTGATCGACAAATTTTCTTTCTTCTGCGCCCGTCTGTCCGCCTGTCCATCATCCTTCACATCGAATGTAACTGAACATTGCGATCTGCGGTCAATTGCGGTGTAAGGTTAATCTTTGTTATTCAGTTGATATTTTCCGCTTGAATGACAGTTTTATAATCGGCCTTATCGATCATCACTTTACACGTTACACAAAAATAATTGTTTTTATCGTTCAAAAAATAAGTATCTCGTGAACTTCCACGTGTCGGGTAAGTTAAAATCTATCGTCATTTGTTATTCAGTCCGCTGATCTATGTAATGGTTCTCAACACCGACAGATACGCCATGGACGCCTTCATGATCTGTAAAGAAAAAATGCGTTGTATCCTCGGCCATTCCAATTGATTTGCGATCGAGCGAATGAGAAATATAAAAGGCTCGCGTAAAGTATCCGTGGCTGTCCTGCCTCAAGATCATTCCGTAAAGAATCGTCAAATTTACCGTGCCGAATGTTTCCAGGGAAAAGATATAAAACTTTCCGGCCGTTAAACATAACGGCTTTCGTGATCGAGCAATGCATATCATTAGAAGACGCACGGACTCAATTGGCAATTCGTGCCAGTTTGTGGAGTAACACGCCCAATCCAATGCCACGCTCTGAAGTAAAATATCTCCGTTAATACGATGTTCAATATTAGACGGAATAAAGGTAGGCAGACGTAAAAACGTGTTGTTTTTTTCACCTCGCTAATCAAACATTCTCCCAGGAAACAATAGCAGAACGCCAACAATACTACTGCTGCCGAGTAAATCATGAAATGAATGATTTCATTCAATCCTTTGCCGCTTTCCACGTTCTAAAATATCGTAATTGCTAAAAGTTATGAGAATCTAATAGAAAGCAAATATCAAAAGCTCATGTCCAAATAGCGCACAACAGTGTGAATAAAAGTTTATAGAGAATTTATCTTAACGAATGTTTATATAAGTATATAGAACAAAATAAATATCTAGAGAACTCCGGATATTCCTGAAGAATTAATCGCAATTAAATTCGCCTTCAAGTATTCTTCAAAAATTCATTATAACAAATATTTTCATGATCCAGCGCTTCGAATACTTTGAAATTCACGAGGAATTACGAGTGGTTTTGTTTGTTACTATTATTTTCTGTGGTTGAATCCAGTAGATATTTATGTTTACTTTCAGTGCTTTGTGTGTGCATTATTATAATTAATTTCCTGGATCATTTTTACAGTATTTTTCGATGAATTCCCAAAGTATCACAACTCGGGAAAGGAAAGAAACTTCAGGAATATTTTTAGAATTCGCAGTGCTATCTTGGTATAACTTATGTTTACTCATTATTCGTAACGTTTACGACGGAAAAACGCAGTCACGCGATCGCAAACAGAAAATTCTTAGTGATTTAATGTTAATTAAATTATTTTATTATCAATCATATTAAATCGAAACGGTTTATTAAATCAACATCACCATAAGAAGTTGATACGCCACAATGCAGAGGGAAAATATCAGACCCATCGTCTGCACGAACATAAGCGAACTAAACGTATCCGCCAGGATGCTCGCTAATCTGCAAGAAATTACATACCAACTCAGTTTCATGTATTTCCATTTGTCTCGTGTATAATTTTGAAGATTCGGAAAAGCTGTTTTTTTTTTTCAATTTTTCCAATTTCTTTTTGATTTCTTGTCTTCTTTACGGAAAACAGTAAATGTTGCAGATTTTAACCGCACTATGAGAGAATTATAGTTGTTTTCAGTGCCAATAATATCCTTTTATTATTTTAACTACGAAGATAATCAAGAGAACTATTTTTCTAGTATCAGTGATGATAACCTTAAGTGTATGTTGCTGTTACTATTTTAAAATAAATGTGGTTAAAATAACAAAAGGATATGGTGCCGAAAATAACAATAATTTTCCTTCAGTGTAAACACATGTGAATTTTTGTGAAAAAGTCCACGGAAAAAATAGAAAAAACTGCTTTCGAGATTATAATTTCGTGAAATTTAAAGTAAAACGAAAAAGGTGGATCGTGTTCGGGGACTAACGATATGATGCGTGCACGTAAAAAGAAAGCGTCTTTAATTATCTTGGTGGACGTCTCACCGCAAGAGCTCCGCGTGACGCACCATGAGAACCTTCATCTCGTAATGATACTTGAGGGATCGCGGATCGGTATTTTTCACATGATGACCGAGAATTGACAGCTGACCGCACAAATAAAACGTCAGGGAAACCAGAAGACTGTCCGCTGCGGTCGCGCCGATCGTCAGGAGCGTGCTGGATGGCATTAAAATCGCGCAAAATAGCGCGTACGAGCGCATCTCCGATATCTCGTAGACGAGATTTACGCGAGCAGGCAGCTCGTACGGAAGAGTGCAGTTGCCGGAACCTGTCAGGGAATCCATAGCGTTCTCCGTTAACCGCGGGATAACGTTGAATCGTAAACCGTTGGGGAGAACTTTAGCATTACGGGAGATTAAGATATTCGCACGAATATACTGTACATTATTTATCTGTGTATATAATCGTGTAATAATTAATTTACTGAAATAATTATACGATCACTAATTTTACAGGATATACTGATCATTTATTTATTTATTCGCAGGATTGGGTAATCTAACTTCTTTTTTAAGTTAAGTTTAGTTAGAAGCTAATGGCCTGTAGAATTAATTTAGTTAAGTTAAAAGTAATCGAAATAAAAAATAGTTTAGGAGAAGAATACCTAAATTAGTTTTATATATATATAGTCTCGCGTAACTAATCTCTAACTTCTAATTTAAATTACTTTATCTAACTCTGTTTATTTGTTATTCATGTGAAAAACGCTTAAATTTGTGTAATATTGTTGCTCCTTCGCCAGCAATTCACATGTTGAATATTTTTGACTCTGTATCGAACGAGATGTGAGGGAATTTTCTATACAAATTTTAAGGCTCCTGATTGCTCGCTGCAATCTCTCGCTTCTGATTTCGCTTCGTTAAACAAGGACAGTTGCAGCGAGGGAGCATTAAGTCGGCATACACATACTTTATAATTTCTTTGATTTACTCACTTGATAGAATGCAGCTGAGAATTGGTATTGTGTAATATAACGTAGGAACAAAGAACAATGACGTAGCGGACGATGTGGCGAATAACGTCGACGCCACGTTATACCAAATCACTTTGCACTTCTCAGCGGGGCTTTGATAAAGTCCCTCCCCGACGTTTTTCCTCACAGCTTCCAATACGGAGGACAGTTGGTTCATCTTCCATCGGAACATCAGATTCTTCAGCACGATCAGCACGCTCGGGAAGGAAAAAGTGATGTTCCTCATGATCCTCTCGGCATCGTGCATATTTTGTAGCAGATTCACGATCAACAACGCTGTAACACATATGATGTACGTGGCGAAGAAGAAAAATTTTAAATTGTCGTGACTCTCCGGCCAGAGGCCGAGTATCGAGAGCAACAGCTTGCTCCACGATAGCACTTGCTCGTCATAAAACGTTTCTAGACGCAACCGCATGACCTTTCTTCAAGGCGTTTCGGCTTTCGGGTTTCGGTGGAGTTCGAACAAAAATCGCTCGGGTAAAAATTCTCTTTTCAACTTTACACCTTCGGCTTTGAATACCACCTGCGACCAGATAAACACCTTTATCTGGTGTGCCTTTCACATTCTCGAATTACAGTTCTTATCGAACGTTTCCAGCGTGCATACACGCGAACGGACGAAACTTGTGGAAAAAATGAAGAGGCAAAAATTAAAGCACTTCATAGCGCAACGATCGTCTACGATTGGAATAACGAAGCAGCGAAATTTGACGCGAAAGGAAAACTTCTCCACCACTCGTGATGGGTTCCAAATCGATATCGTTTTTTTTATTAATGCATAATCACACGTTCCCATGGTGGTACTCGCGTGAGATATCGTGTGAAATTTCGCCAGCGGTGCGAATAGCACACGCGAGCATGTGAATAATCTCGTACGGTGCAGGTAAATCTGCATGTCTCATGAGCTGCATTATGTCGTATTTCAAGCGCGCGAGGTGCTTTTGACCTCAGGTGATAATATTTCCACCTCGATTGCACTTCAGCGACGAAGAATATTGGTTCTTCGCCAGAGAGCGATACGCGTCTCCCTCTTTTTAAAAAGTGAAAAAAGAAAAGTCTCTTAAAAGTTACAGTACGAAAAATCGAAATTATTTGGATAAGAGTGCATGAATCGTAGATTTACCGCGCATAATTGGTTTAACGTTGTTCGAAAGTTATGAATTTCTCCCTTCGAGTAAAAAAATCATATATTTCTCTTCGTGTTTTCTTCAAAGAAAAAAAAATGTTATAAACATCGAAGGTTAAACAACGTTTATAACTAAAAGTAGAGGTCTGAAATAAAGCAAAATATTATTCTCCGATTTTTTTCATTTATACATAGTGAGAGAAGTGGTTCTGTCCACAAATGACCTAAGAATCATACAGTATTAGCGAAAAATAACGAATCATACGGAGGGTTAAAGAAATTTTGACGTCTGATCTCCTAGCCTCCACTAAAATTTTGGCGATTTTGATTTTTGTGTTAAGAAAGAAGCCTCTTAAAGACAACAGTACAAAACGAAATTGGATACAAGATAAATTGTAGATTTATCGTATATAATTGGTTTAACGTTTTCTTTCATTTTAAAGAAATTTTAACCTCTGATCACCTAACTCCCGACTAGAAATTTTATAACAATTTTGCGTCAGGAAAAAACCCCTTAAAGGTAACAATCCAAAAATCAGAATCGCTTGGATAGAGCGCATAAGTCGCAATTTATTCATAGATTACGCGGTAAATTTTTTCTATTAGCATTGCTACATTGTTTATTCAATGCAGCAATGCGAGTAATCAAGAGGTTCGAAGAAATACGTACGAACACGAAAGCTCTTCCAGGGTCAACGAAGAGCGCGTGTGCGACACGTTAGAGCTTTACATCGAGCAGACGGATGCAACTGGTGTCATACAGTTAGTGTCCCGTGTGCTAACCACTTGCACACCGCATCCCGCTCGTATAAAAATTCCGAGATATATAATAGTTATTCGAAGAGTTAAGAATTTATTAAAGAGTTTTGACTAAATTTTCCAGTCATAATAAACAGAAATATCAAGGCATCATGAGATACAAATACATCGTTCTTGTGGGTGCATCACTATTTACAACGCTCTGTCTACTTTCTGGACTCATGTACTACTTCAGTCAAGGTACGATTGAAATAGCAGGTCGTTTTAAATGGGTGCGCGTGTGTATTTTACTATTGATTTTATTTTCATTGTTCCGCAAAAAATTTCAATAAATCTTACCGAGTATTGCGTTTTTAGTATAATATTTCGACTATATGTTATAACAAGAATCACAAAGGATGCTGAGGTTTAAGTTGATGGGTAGATGATTATCGAAATTATAAAAGTAAAATTTTCTCAATCGCATAAAATGTTTTTGATAGCAGTAATTAGAATCCTGAAGATATACAAATTTATGAGATTGTGAAATGGATTTTTGCCGTGTTTACCGTCAAATTCAGACAAAGGCGTTGTGTTAAGACGAAAAATTGTTGTATACAATATCTTTTACTCGAGAGTCTAAGTGATTGAGTATCGTCAAACATATAGGCTACTTGAGTGGCTATTTTCTATTCCACAGCACGTACGCGTCGCTCTTACCAGATAAAAATGCGTCCTTCAATTTGTAACATATATAGCTATTAGATAATTACTACTTCTACAGTGAGAAAACATTGAAAAATACTCTCAGTAATCATCGTTTTCGTACAAGTCATTATACGCGATATATTAACTGTTTTATGTATAAATTTCACAAAATGACTATATAACTTTGTAGTAATTAACAAAAAAAGATAATACCAAGTATATTGGCAAGTTTTCTGAAACATTTTCGCATGCGTTTCAGACAAGTGTCCTGTTGGTACATTCCTTTGTTACAACAGCAGCACATGCATGCCGCAACACAGCTGGTGCAATGGCATATTGGACTGTCCATTTAGCGACGATGAATCCATGGAAAATTGCTGTGTGTTTCAGATTTTTACTGCACTGTGTGGTTAACACATTTCCCGCTGATTCATCATAATTATTATTTTACATTATGTTTTCAAAATATTGGCAGATCAGATAGATTTTCTGCAAAGAATTCTAATATTTATTACTTCAGAAATGTTTATTATCAGTAGTAGACATTTTTGGTCGCAAATATTCACATTATCCTATTAAGTCACCTGTTTTAAAACTCGTTAAATTTAAAACAAAACATCCGAATTCCCCATATTTTTAAAAATAGTTTTTCAATTCCAATTTTAAACGATAATTTTACTACGCAGTTGACATGCACGGAACCTGGGATTGGTTTAAAAAAGATAGAGATTGGGGAGACTTTGAAAATTGCGGTAATATATTGACGAATATATTAAGAAAAATATACATGCATCTGCACTTTGTGAGGTTCATACGAAATTTCATTTATTTTTCTCTACAGACACAATTGGCGCACCCGCCAGTTGCATCTACGACGAATGTCATGTGACTTGCACAAATTATACTGACGTACCTCAGGATTTATCATCGAATGTTACAGCAATGTATGTTCTATAAATTATATTTTTGCAATAACATTACATTATATAAGATTTTGTTTAAATAAAAATGATAAAAAATATTTGCAGCTCTACTAATAAGTTCAATTAAACCGCAGGTGTCAATCAACTCAAATCAATTATATCTCATTTTTTATGTCGCCGTTATTAATAATTAATAATATTAACACGAGACTTTTGCAGATTTTTAACCGAAAATTCACTCACGCGTTTGTCTCGTAATGTGTTATCGAGATATTCGGAAATACGTTTATTGTAAGTTATCCATGTGCAATGTCTTTTTTATGTAGCTTATGCAAGGGAGGAGCAATTCGTGAATGTTACAGAGAGCGTTTTTTATAATTTTAGATATCTCGATAATAACGATATAATCGAGTTGGAAAAAGGAGCGTTTTTTCATCAAAGTGAGTTAATTTGGTTGTAAGTACTTGCACACTCTATATAACTGACACAAAATATATATATATTTTTTTTTGTTCATATTTTAATTAAAATTATTAAACTAAAGCTTATCAGACTACTAAAGATTCACCCTTAGATATAGTAAATATTTTCGTAACGCAAATTCAATGATTAGATTATTATATCTTTCTTTAGTTTGTCTGCAACTTGAATATTGCATGGTTATTTAATATTTACGAGTAACACGTCTCAAAATATGTCCTAAAACAAATCAAGTGCGCTGTTCATAGAAATGTAGATCTTTTTTATCCTCATCGTTACTTTACTTTTTACTTTATGTACTTTTGCTTCTATTATTCTCTGTTATTTGTATAAAAGAGGAAATTTTTCCCGCGTTTATGCTATAAATAAATAAGTAATAGATAAATAAAATTCTTGAAAAGAAATAACTAAGCTGGAACATTCGTTTGCGTGTACAGAATTCTCGATAGTAATAGAATCAACGAAATACAGCCTGGACATCTAACGGGACTGGATAAATTGGAGACCCTGAGACTGGACCAAAACGAGATTGCGATAGCGGATTTTTCCGACCTCGAGAACAGCACCGCTATATATTTGATGTAAATCATCACAGTACAAAAGACTATCTAAGATTATTTAGAACGCAATAGCCAATCTCGATCGCGATATTGAGTTTCCAACGTGTCTTACGAAATAAAAATTCGTTTTTCTTATTTAACGCGTTATATACGGACTTTCTAACGCTAAAATTATTTGACGTTATCACTGGAAAGCTTGCATTCTGCTCCATTTATCTACACCGCTGTCTGTATTTTTTTATTATGTTCAAGACCATAATTTGTAAGAGTGAAATCTTAAAGTTGGCTATTAGCCTTTGAGTAATCTAATGTATACGATAAGTACGTGGGCTATTTGGCATAATCAATGTATCGGTCCGAGCAGAACATCGTTGTGAAAATATAGATCCGTTTGCAAATTACTTCCTCGACACGCACAGCAAGATCATGATAACTTTGGAGAGAGAGGACAGTGAGTAATACGTATAAATCTTAAACGGCAATTAGATGAAATCGCGCAGAGAATTCTAAGTAATTATCCATATATTGCACCGTTCGGGAGAAGGGAAATGTTCACACCAGCGAAACCGGTACAGATGTGTACGGCACGTGTATTTTAACACTCGCTGCCTTCATTTAGGGTAATTACCGAAGATTATTTCTACCTTGCTGCGTTTCTTTTATTTGCAAATAGAAACTTGAAGGATAATATGTTGACGACGTCCACTTTGAAGCTCCCACGATTGCCGACGCTGACGGAAATGTAAGTCTATTACGTTTATCTCGAAAACATGAGATGTACACGTGCGCGTTCTCGATTTTCCAAAGTAGCGTTTCAGAATACTGGACGGGAATCGCTTCGAGTCGATAACGGAAGATCTGTTCGCCGGATGCCCCGCTTTGAAATCACTGTACGTACGTAAGTAGATTACGGAAGCGATTACTGTCATTGTTAATAAGATTCATGCGAGCCACTAACGGAGCAACGATGATTCAGGAGTATGGAGGACAATAGCGTGAGCAACGTCGACGAACGCGCGTTCCGAAATCTGCGGCAACTTGTCGAACTGTAAGTTTGCAAGTATTAACAATAATCCACGTCAATATATGTCCGAACATTGCATCCTCCCATACACACATTAATATTGATGATATTAGCATTGAATAGTATTGAATTAGTATTAAATATTAAATCATTAGAAGATCTATGTTTTGACTTTTAGCCGATATCCAGTAAGTAGGAAACATTAAATCAATCTTTTGAAACATCGGCTTTATGCGGATTTTATAAGCAACTTGATAAACATCTCGATTTTATAAATGTTCTTAAACCATTACTTGGTAATATAATATTCCTAAATACGAAAATCATAGTGTAGACGTGTTTTAATATCTTAGTCACACGAATATTGTTAATAATGACGCAGTACGCAACATTAAAAAAAACTATACATTTGAAAACGTTACATGTTATGCATTATCATTGCAATAACATTGTGTAAATAATTTCTTGCTCACTGGCTACTATTTCTTTCTTTAATAATAAATCTATCCTAACGGTATCCGCTGCCTTTTATTCTAAATCGTCGATTACAGTGATACCGAGTTGCATCCCGATTGCCGGTGCATTAGCATGGCGTCGAGGTGCGCGATCGATTTCAATCAACGGCGAACTCCGCCGCGTCTAATGAATCATAGTGCGGACCGAACAGCGCGGCGATCGAAGAGCGTTATTATAATAATGTACAATCTCCTTTCAGTAACTTGGCCTACAACGAGATAGTGACATTACCGCCGGACGTGTTCCAACCTGTGAATAATCTGTCGAAGCTGTAAGTGCGCAAACTTAACCGTAGCCGTAGCACAATTCCCGAGGGTAATCAGCTTTACCGTTGAGTGCTTGAGCTACACGTATACGTGCTTCGGGCCCGCATTCGCCAGCGCTTACCGCTGAGTATCCGTTCGCGAAAGTGAACTACGGAAACGTCACGTACAGCCGCGACCGGTTTTAATTATAATTTAATGCATGCACGCACGTAAACCGGAATCCGCATAAACGGACAAATCAAATCGCTCTAGCAAAGAGCCTGATATAATCACGTTCTTGCAGGCTAATCGGTCACAATCCCGTCGCCGAATTACCGACGACACTCTTCAACTCGCTGAATAATCTCCGTTCCCTGTAAGTTGCATCTTTTTGTCTCGTTCGAAGAAAACCCATAGCTATCTGGCTATTTATATAGGTATTTTTTTTCTCCTTGCCTTTATTTAGCAGGGTACTCCGCGATATGTGAGAATAGTAGCGAAGCAAAGTGAAACTGGCCGCCAATTTCGTTTTATGGCAGTATCTTTATGTGCTTGATCAGCCAATTGTCTTATTTCTGATTAAAATAGTAGTAGAGCATAAAATAAATTTCTCAAAAATTCGTTGAAATTTGTAGTATATATAGATTTAAATATGACCTGATTACTGGCATAATTAGAAATCAGCGATTGACTATTCGAAGCTGAGATATTCTCAACTGAAAATAAAACCTTTTATATGTATTTCATGAAGTTAATATCCTTTTCATTTCTATTTTTAAGTTCTTCGTAGCCTCCTTGATACGCCACTGAAAATACGGCATTTAGCGCTACTATTACCTTAATATGGTAGACTGACCGATTAGTTTTCCAATTATGTAATTACATTGAATTTCAGGGGCGTCGAAGACATAAACATGGAGAACATGAACAAGGATGTGTTCCTCATATTACCAAGCCTTGATTTTGTGTACGTTTTTCTGTTACTTGAAGCGTGCGTTGGCTCGTGGAAAACAAAGACGAATTAAAGCATATTATTAACAAATGGAATTAAATACATTTAAATTTCAGGTATTTCAAAAAATTCCACTACTGCATGGCTTACGCACCAAAGGTACAGAAATGCAGACCTATTAGCGATGGTAAGGTCGTGTGTGTGTAATAAATTTGAATTGATAATTTAATTGATAATAATTGAAAGTTCTTAAATTATTAACGTTGTTTATTGCTGAAATTCATTGCTGAAACAACGGTAACAAAAGTTACGTTTAAAACGAAAAATAATATATTTCTATCTTTCTCTTTCTCCGCCCTCTTCTCCTTTTTTCTTCCTATCTTCCTCTTTTCCTCAAGGTGTGTCATCGATGTCTCATTTGCTGGACAAACCTATGTTAAGGGCAGCCGTTTGGAGTATCTCTTGTGTCACCTGTGTTGGTAATAGTCTCGTTCTTTGGGGAAGATTCATCGCCAAGGACGAGAATCGTGTTCTAAGTATCATCATCCGAAATCTCGCGGGTAATTACACAAAGTCTCTAATAACATCTTTAAGTTTCAGAAAGGTGAGACGCGAAGCTAAAAGATAATTTTCCGATCTCAATGTTCGTTGAATACAGAATTTTTCACAGAAATCTGAAGGGTTCAGCGAATCGCCCGGTGTAGCTTCATATCACACGGTATCACACACGTAAAACCGTTATACACGAGATAACGACAGCATAAATAATCCGTATTGAAATGATTCGTGGTACGCACGAATCACGAAGTGCACGCGAGTTATCATCGTTGCGGTTCACAACAAAGCGCAACGATGATCGATCGTGTATATTAATGTTAGACTCGCTATAAATCACAAGGCGGTAAGTCACGTAATCCTTTTACAGTGTCCGACATGTTGATGGGAATATATCTCTTCATAATCGCCATAGAAGATGCGAAGTTCCGCGATAACTACAAAGAGGAAGCGAGGGCATGGATGTCCTCATGGTCCTGCACGTTTCTAGGAGCGTTAGCGATGACGTCATCCGAGGTATGCGCATTAACACCTCGCTGGACCGCACAATTTTCAATTCGCAACGTGCAATTATTGTTCAACGGTACTGTTTGTTACAACCGCACTACTATTCAGCGAGATCTACGAAATGATTCTGCATTTTCGCCCCTGCTGATAACCGTATCGTCTTTTCGCAAGGACTTTAATAAGCCGCTAAAATACTCAATTGATTAGCTTCGCAATATTTTACAATTTCGTTCTCTGAATGTGTTATGAAACATTAAGCTCAACTTAATATTCAAGAAATCGGACGTCACGAAATTATGCCACGGAAGTAAGATAAATAATCTCTTAAATTGATCGCCAAGGTTTCCGTGCTCATCCTGTCATTCATGTCCGTGGAGCGATTCATTCTGATCGCAGCTCCTTTAAAATGTCATCGTGCCATGACATCCCAAGCCGCATCCTTGTCGATGATCGTCATCTGGGTTATTGGACTTATCCTCGCCGTTGTGCCAGGTCTGTTTTCGTCAGAGAATAATGTTTTTTATTTCAAACGAATTTTCGAACGAATATGATCGAGTAAACCGTCAATTATTTTAGTTATATCAAAACGTTATAGTATGTTTGAATCGACAATTGCATCATTTTGCGGAAAGATCGAGTTCCCCGAGAAAGAAAAAAAATTGTCCGTAATTCCCGACTTCCTGACGATCAATTTGTTGTCTTTTCCGAATCGAAAGTCATCCACTGGAGGAGCAGCACGAGGTTCTATGGTGTCAACGGAATGTGTTTTCCTCTGCACATCGACGACCCGTACTTGATAGGCTGGGAATACTCGGCCTTTATCTTTCTAGGACTTAATCTCCTCGGGTAAATTGCGCATTATTAGGATGGCCTTGTAATCAGACATTACGCAATATGGAATCAACTGACGTTTATCCAATATAAAAGATATTATAAATCGTGGTTCAACGGTCATTTAACGTTATCATTACATACCTCGGTGTAACGATTCGGGACACACGATTTTATCCGCGACTCTTTTAAAGAAAAACGTACCTGTAAGAGCAATTTTTGGGGTCCCCTTTGTACCGCATAATTACATCCAATCATCGACATTGGAATTTTCAAATAAACTCAATCGCACGGTAATAATATCGGTCCGTTTTAATAGAAAAAAATGTAATCAACGTGCGCCACAGGCTCGATCTGAGTTCTCATTTCGCGATTACCCCGATATTTTATAGAGGAGAGAGAGAGAACCTTCGCAAAGCTATCGTTGCATTCATTTGCAGATTGATGATTATCGGTTACGTTTACGCTGGCATGTTCGCGAGCATCTGGAGAACGCGCCACGCTACGCCGTTGTCGGCCGGCGATTCTGAGTTCGCCCTGAGGTTCTTCCTAATCGTGTTGACAGACGCGGCATGTTGGGCACCGATTATAGCGTTGAAGATCCTCGCCATGATGAAGTATCCTGTGCCACGTAAGCAGAAACCCCGATGCGGGGATCTACGCGTCCTCACCTACTCGCTTCGTTCGCAATGTCGTCTCGATTAATAGTCGTTAATATATATATAATCGCGCAAATTAGAGGAATCTCCTTTGAAAAAAAAAAGAAAAAAAGAATAAAATGTCAATACGAAACGAGTCCGATTGATTTAATAGCTCGATAGCTTGAAATTTGAATAATGACCGAATAAATAATTTGCAGCTGATTTACACGCTTGGATAGTAGTCTTTGTTCTGCCGGTGAATAGCGCGATCAACCCGCTCCTGTACACTTTTACCACGCCAAAATTTCGTGAAAGATTCAGCAACGGTTGTTGCGGGAAAGCGCTCAACTATGTATCGAGGAAATATCCCAGCCAAGGTTCGTAACGCTCACTTTTCATGTATTCCCAAACTGCAGTAGATTTGGATCGTTGAGTAGATGCAAGTAGGAAATCGGAGAGTATTTTCATATAAACGAACAAAGCGGAATTTGTTTCAGGGTACTTGCCCGTAAGATCGAATAGAAAATTTCGGTGATAACAGAGATAGTCGTCTGGACGAGACTCGTATAACTGATATATAGATTGCATGGCAATCGGATGCATAAATATGTATTACAATGTAAATAAGTTTCTATATATATAGGAAGTTCGGCAACTTTAAATAACTCTCATGTGAAACTATTATTCAAACGGAATTTTGATAAAAGAAAAGTTGCTTCGTTTGGTACCGAGAATCTCCCGGTGTACTCCGCAAGCGATTATTTTAGGACACCCTGTATATAGGAATAATTGCTTGAATTTCCTGGCGAGCCGAGGCAACTCATTCGCGTTACCTTTATCGCAGATTCACGGGAACCGTCTGCTACGGTTACTAATAAAAACGTGGTACTATCATTGGCCATTTGGACCAACTGCGACGGCGACAGGAAGAAAACGCCGCCGTCGTTTCATTGACCTTAGCGACGAAAGAATTCTACCTGAAAAGCGGGACGCTGAAATTTCGTAAACTCATCTATTAAAAAGAGTTATGTCGCACTTCTCTCTGTTAAATGTTACACGAATCGCTCATGGCGATATTCGTGCATCGTGGAGCCAGGAATAGATGGCTGTTACAAATGAACTATAAATCTATGTGACATGTTTATTAAGCGTCAATAATAACTGAACAGCTTCGAATTAGCGATAGTAAAATTCGATCGATAATCGTTAGGGTAGAAAATCTCCCTCGTTGTAAAAATCGTATTCTTGTGTGATGATTTTAAATTATGAGCACAAGCAAACATGCACTGTCTGAAAAGCTTGTTCGCGGCATAACGCAGAAAATGACGTTGCTCCGCTTAATTGTCATAGAAGAAAGTTACAGAAACCGTTTACGCCTATTCCGCACAAAACCTGTCCTGCAAAATGCCATGCATATTTGTATTTTGCGTGAATTATTATCAAGATAATATATTGATGTATAAAAATTGTGATTGATACTCTCTCTCTCTCCCTCACACACAAACAGTTTAAATAACTATATTATTTGGTTTATTATTATTTACAGCGCTGACATCCAATCACCGGAACAAAAAAGTTAAATAACGATCGGTTTTTGGTAGAAGAGGTGACAAAAAGTGATATCTCAGACATCGAAATAATGAACAAAAGTGACAATTTCTGTCATCTGTCCTGAGAGTAATTAAGGCTATTTGAGCAAAAAAGTAACACCTACTCTTACCTTCCCAGGTTTACTTTGAATAATTTCACATGTAGCTTCTTTCATAGAACGGTTTGAAAATTCATAACAAAGAGAGATCAAGAACATAAACAAGTATGCTTTCAAACCAGTTTTATTAAGAGAGACGACAAAAATATATATAAAACACTATTTTATCAATTTAACAGCAAGTCAAGGAGGAAAAGTAACTATATAGTGATTCATTTGTGACGATAATGAATTTTTCAGAGACTTTTAGTGACTTGTCCTATATATAAGAAAAAGTGACAAAAAGTGACTTAAATAACTGGATAGTAGCGTTGTTACTTATCATCCGTTTATTGTTCATTACCTTTCGGATACAATGAATATACCGCTTTCGTATTTTCTAATTCCGTCAGTTCTGTTTTATTGGAAGTACGAGAGCTCAGCGAGATGCCGCGTTCTTACTCTCGTTTCCTTCGATTGCACGGTAACAAAGGAACACCCGCTTTGCTTTCTGAATGTATTGTTTCGCGCATCGGTGATCCCGGCATGCGGATATTTCAATCGCGCAAACCTCCGATGGCCCGCGCGGAGTATCCACCCACGTCCAGAGATCGTGCTCGAAAACGCACATAAATTATTTTCCGACGAAGTCGGAATCGCGACCACGCGCGAAAAATTTACGACATCGATTTCGATGTACTGGCAAATCATGTTCCACGATGTGGCACCGTTATGCAGGGTCAGCGTCACTTGTTCCTTATTATTATTGCGAGATGAGAAATTTATCCTCGAATACGGGCATGACTTTTTAACGGCTGCGCCGCTGTACGCTCTAAAACGAGTACTACATCACTCAAGTATGCTCGATTAGTCGGCCCATAGGCCGCGGCCATCCCTCGAGCCGCGATGTGACTTACGAAACGATCGTAAATGATAAGACCGAAAAAGCGACGAAACAAGAAATTGCTGGTAATTGACTTCTATTTTTCATAGTGTGTATCTCCCATCTACGTTTCCACGTATTGGAGCGTAACACATTGGAAAATACGGTTCGGTTGGATCTATCTTGAAGGAAACAGAATTTCTGGTTATGCACAAAAAATTTTGTATCGAATAGAATATATTTTATATTTATTATTGTTATTTATTGTTATACATTTTTTGTGATGAATTTAATACATTCCCAAATGTTCGACACAAATTTTTGTTTCAAATTCAACAGAAAGATAAATATGTAAAGTAATACAAATAATATGTCAAAAAATAACACAAAATTAATATCCATAACATATTGATCGATATTGAAATATAAAATGTATTATTTCAATATTTACATATGTTACACATCGACTCGACATAAAATATTAAAGTAACATAAACACAGTATGTTAAATTAACATACATACGTTAAAAAGTCATCACAAAAATTTTAATAAGAGCCGATTTTAACGTAAGTATAAAATACTTTACTGCGTAAAAATTAAATTTAGTTCATGAGAACTAGAAATTTGGTTTCTTTCAACCAAAACGCATTTAATCGTCCATTATCGGATAGACTCCAATTAAACTCAATTTTCAGTGTAGTTATGACAAGTTTTCTCTAAGCATAAAATGAGCGAAGTTAATGTTCTTCTTAATGAAACAATAATTGACACGGTGATTACGAAAAATCGACGGAAACGTAGTGTCGTGTATTGTAAAAAAATGCGTAACAATGGCATTCAGAGGAAATCGTATTTGAGAGAATAAGACCGTCATGTTTAGAAAATGTTTAGAATCGCACGCAAATTGATGAAAGATAAAAATTCAATCCATGCGACCGATATACTCAGCGTTATTCGCGCGTTCGTTTATACGAGAGGACTTCTCGATTGCGATCCATTAAAATACACGGATATAAACAACGGGCGATGCAACGATATCCGACTTCCGACTTTCGGAGGGTTACAGTCAGCCGTAAATCATGCGAACAGCCAAGAAAAATGCATCTCGCGAGCACTCTACGATCTACCGGCACGTGGGTTGGCTCTTACGCGATATAATGTGTAATTTATGGCGGATGGCCAATGGTAAGGTCCCGTTAAGGGGCCTCGATACTTCGCCCGAGACAGACCGCCTTTTAGGACTGACTTTTCTTCCGCCTTGAGCTGCTAAGATTTCTTCAGCTACAATACAATTACGCCGCAACGTGGGCGGGTATGCGTTATGCGATCATCCACGAAATCGTCCACGGAATAAAAAGACAAACGCTGCTTCTCGAGCAATGTGGGTAAGGCAAACGGGTGTGACGCATAGGCGCAAATATCGTTGAATTATACTCGAGTCATCGTCTCGATTCAAGAGTCAACTTGGCCGATCAAACGATAATTGTCTCTTATCGCCAATATCTCGATTCTTTTTTTTTATATTTACGAAGATTCATCGTGTGTATTTAATATCTTTACGTTTATGAGTTACACTATTTAATGGTCGAACGACTATTTCGTTCTATTATTATATACATTTACGGTAGATTACATTAGCGCATGATCACGAATTATTTTGCTCGTGTTATCACGCGATACGCTCATATTTTGCGATGAACTCTACCGTATTTACCGTACATGACAAAGTGACTTTTTCGATAACGGTGCGCTAGGACGTCGGCCGGAAGGCGGAGAACGTGAAGGAATTTACAATGAGCGCACAATACCTATACACCCGGCGATTGTAACAGCTCCTGGCGATAGAAGAATATTCCGCAGACACGCACACACGCTACACAAAGCGAAAGCGAGCAACAAGATCGCAACCTTCCGAAGGCCTTCCCGAGAACTGCTCCGGGAGAGCAACCATCGGTAGCGCAGAAAAGGAGTGAAACGTCATATATACCGCCGCCTTTGTAAGTAGTGAACGCGATATCTTCGACATATTTCTACGATAAAGGCCAAATGGCTTAGGCGTAACATGAGCCACATCGTCGACTTTCCTCGCAATCGAACGAGCAACGATAGTTTAATTAATTGAAAATTCTCAAAAACAAGTCGAAATTTTAATCCTACATTAAGCCTTAGTTTTACGTTAAGTTTTCAAAGGTCTTCCATTGTGTTTCTTTGATATTACACGGGAAGTTATTGTCATTTTCTTCACTTGGAGACTTAATGTAGAATTTAACGTTCCGATTCAGAACATCTCACGTAATGTTTAACGATTAAATTTCTAAGTAATTATCCATTTCATTCGATTTCGAAATAGACTCCGTGTGGAAGGATAAAAACTGAACGAAGGTATACAGCACGCCTGTCTGTAGGCAACAACAATGGAAAGGTCTTGAAAACGTTAATAATGTCTCGAACAGATCGCTCGCCAATCTACGAAATTGGCCGGCGAGATTCGCAAAGAGTTAAAGACGGCCATCAGACGATCTCCGGTGCGAAATCGATGCGAAAGAGCCGCCCGCGCCACGGATCTTTCTTTCCTCCCCCCTACAATTATAGGGTATAAAAATTCTTTTGGATTTCAGTCACGCGAGCAAGGCTACGTTCGGTCCACGGGAAGAAGATTTACGTGCGAAGCGGTAATTGGCGCCGGTTCAAATTTTTACAACGTGGAAGACCTTTGGATACAGCCTTCGCGATAAGAAAATGTGGAGTGCCACGTGAGAAATCAAGGAACATTTAGTAAACGTAATTATAATATTTATCGATGGCAGCATGCGATACATCAGAAACTGAAATAAGAGCCTTTCTTCATCGTAATCCGTAATTAAATCGTCTGATATTTAACAATATCAGCGATATTAATATTTAACAATGTCCAAATATTAAGTAATAATGCGCTTTCGAGACCGATCCTCGTGAAATCTGTTC